TCATACCTCAGCATTCAGTGCCTCCAATACAGCTCCTGGGACAGCATCTGGGCAGAACTCATCTGGAGTGAAGTTACAAAGTATCCGCTTAACTAATGGGAGACTAATTGAAGGGCACACCTAGTATACATGAAAGCAAAAAGTTTAATCAGTCCAATAAGAGACGGGAAAAGAATGGGAACATAAATTATGAACACCAACCTCCTTTCTGATTGATCGATCGATAAGCATGTCTTTGGGAAGCATTAAAAGATCACTCAAGGCATTGAGAAGAAGGAAGGATTTAGATTCACCATCCCCACTCTGCCTGTCATCATCCTGACTGCCGGGCTGATCTTCTTGCAGGGAATCATCAGCATCCATGTCAAACATATCACTTAGCCATCTAGACCAATTTCCAACCTGCATGACATGCAACCTCCACATGTTTTAAATCTAGCAATCACAATTTTGAGGCCTACCCTTCCAAAAGATGAACTGCCAATTTCCTTACCAAAGTGGTTTTATAGTTTATGACAGCTCTGTAAAGGTGAATATTTCTGGTTTAAAAAGAAGATAAAGGGGATGAATAACATGAGTATGATACGTACAGAATTTTTGAGTTGTGCACCAGACCCAAAACTCAAATCGCCAGCGGGAATAGGTAGAACCCTGGGATCAACAATGGGATCTGACACTGGATCAGTAGGGATCTCATGGGCTGACTCACGCAGAATAGCATTAAACATTGCCACATCTAGCCTTGCAACACAATGTTCCATAACCTAAAAGGTAAATCATGTCTAATTAATTAGAACTCTGAAGAAAAAATAATTAATGAAGATGAGAAAGTTCTGTAGTTTGAGGTTAAAATCCAATGCCTGTGACGAAGAAAATTTAAACTGCAGAGGAAGCTTAGATAGGTATTTGAGGATTCCATACCATTCTCGCCAACACAGGCAAGCAGCCACACTTGTGCCCTCCTGCCCGAACAGGACAGAGTCGTTGAGAAGCATCCTGGAAAGCATTTTTCCAAAGGTTCACAGAAAAGCTGCCTTGCTTCTGATCACCCAGTGCAGGTCCCAACAACCTTACAATTGTGTTATTATTAGACGAATACTCAGCTGGAGATTGCATATTTGGAGTCAAAGCCTGAAAAAATAAGATTCTGGTCAGTAAAACATAAAAGCCCATCAAACCCACTGTCAAGAATATATATTAAATGATAATTAAGTCTACATAAGTTCATGAATATATTAATTCATGGAAAAAATGGCCTTGGGCATGCAACTTAGCCATTAAAACAACATGATTGTTGTGAAGTAGGGACTCAAGCCACCTTTAATGTGTTAAAAGCAAGAATGCGAGGTTATTTGGTTGTTTCATCGAACGATCACAATGGTTCAATTGTAGAATCAGATACACACATCTATACACACTCTGTTTGAGTAGATATATTTATATCATACTCTGCTTGAGTAGATATATTTATATCATACTCTGTTTGAGTAGATGTATTTATATCATACTCTGTTTGAGTAGATGTACCTGCCACCATACGGACTCAACTATCCGAGAGAAAATCCAAGATTCAATTTTTTCTAATGCAGCTGTGAAGTTTCCTGTCTCTTGCCAGTCATCAGCAAACTGCATAAAACCGTTCATTTGTTTACCACCAGAACCACCCCTCCATTTCAGTGTTGGAGACTTCACTCCATTTCTTTTGCTAGTCCCATTTATATCAGCAAACTTTGTTAAAGAACTTGACTGGTGTGAAATTCCAAATGCTTGAGATATGATCTCCCTTAGCACAACAGTGTTTGATAACCAGAAGGTTAACCTTAAAATACAAAAGGAAAAGAGAAAATATTAGTTTCGGAAGGTGACAGTGTTTTAACACTAGGTTTTATGACATGATAATTTTTACCTCGGAACATCATTGCCACAGGACTTTGCAATCAAAACAAGCCCTGATACCGTGTTCTTAGCAATTGTGGCTCGCTTGTCCTGAGTCCAAAGCTTGCAAGCATGAATATAAAGTCTAGAAATGCGCCGAGCCGGTGTGTGCACTTTATGTGCTGAGCTCCCATGCTCTGGTACTACAGAATAGAGGGAAATTTCAAGAGCAGCAACTTCGCGGAGCTCTTCTTCAAGTTTCTCAATTCTCATTTCCATTTCTTCAACCTTTCGTTCCAAAGCAGTTACATCCTCTTGCTCATCATTTTCTTCAGCATGTACTGTTTCATCGTCACTTTCAACACTCTGGGCACCATTTGAAGCCCCATCTAGGATATGACTTCCTTTTACCTCTATAATAAGATTATCATCAATTTCTTCAGATGATTCTGACAAAGGTTTAGAGGGAACTTCTGTATTGCTAGAACTGTTCCTAGATGAAGTTCTGGTGTTACCCAAAGCTCCTTCATTAGAATTAGTGGATTTTTTCTCTGGAGGATGTAGCGCCTTCGATTTTGAGTTAGATTCACTAGGAGACCTCTCCCTGGATCCATGAGAGCTCTCTGAGAGATTCTTTTTTGCAATGATTTTGGGAACCCTTGAAGCTCGTTCTACATTCTCATCCTCAAGGGAAGGTGAATCCCCTTGAGATGATACAGAATCCTTTATTGTCTCACAATCTGACACCTCTTCCTTCCCATGCTTTGTTTCTCTTTCAAAATCACTGGAATGATCATCTGAAGCGTCATCAATGTTCCCTTTGGAAATCATTGGATTGGCTTTAAGATCTTGAGGCACCTCCTCAAACCTGTTCACATCATCCACATAATGTATAACCAAGTTTTCATTAACTTCAGAGAGCTCGGTGCCCGTGTTTGAATCACTTACTAAAGTACTGGGGTCTGGTATAGCATAAGAGTCTTTAGATTCAGTTTCTTTTCCATTCAATCTCTTGCCAGGGTTCCCTTGATTCAGTTTATTGTCTCTCCTTTCAGTTCTTCCAGAGCGCTTGGTGTTTTTAGTATTTGGGGTTTTCCTTTTCTCAACCTCCTTCATGCCTTGATTGGTTTAGTTCCTCCAACTACAACAATCAATTAACAAGACTGACATAGAAGAAAACAAAACAATCAACAACCAGCAAAGCTCTTCTTCTTATTACTTTCAGAGTGAAAAGTAGAGTGGGGAAAAACAAAGGAAAGAAATAGATAGAGCCAAGCCAACACTAAACGCACAAAAGGAAGGGATTTCAACTACCTCTTATGCAGTGACTTCTCCAAATTGAAAATGCATAAACCAGAAAACTTCTGCTGGGCCTTTCCTTAGTTATTCCAAACTTATTTCCGGTAGGCCTGCAAATAAGACATCATTCTGGGTCATCAACTTAGAGAATTTTACGAGTCCTTTGACATAAAACAAAATCAAACTAGCACTCGATTAGCAAACTGAGTACACCAAAAAAAAAACACAAGAGGTTGATTTTTCATAACAGTAGAACCCAATGAACGCAAGCTCATGACAACTCTATTTAAAGCTTGCCTCCGTCATGAAGCCTCGCATTCATATCTCAATTCAAAGGATAGACAGAAAATCAAGGCCCAAAGACCAAAAAACGTTTGTTCACTCATTCACCTCAGAAGGGTCAGTTCCCATCTGCCCAATATTGCAAATAATGCTGCTATAACACTAATTCCATCATCAAATTGCATTGCAGCTGTTATTTTCCACTGTCATTTTAGACACGGGTATCTTCCATTAATTTCAACCAGACGGGTCAAA